TTTCAAATTTACCTCGATGGATGCTATATTTTTGAATTCGTTACGAGTCCCCAAATTAAACTGGGTTTTCCAAAAAGTTTTTAGCACGAGGACCTCAAAGTTCGAAAAATGCTGAAACTGGCCAATTTCTCGGAGGTCTCAGAGGCAAGCGGATTCATGGTGTGCTTTGAACTCTGAACTCTCCATCAGATACTCGTTCGTATTAGCGTGAACCATCATGGTCCTTGCCATTTCCACTAGCGTCCGATTGGCACGCTCAGCAACTCCGTTTTGGTGTGGAGTGTGGGGAACGGTGAGCTGCCTCTTAATCACATTGTTTACCAGGAAGTTTTCGAATGCGCCATTAAAGTACTCTCTACCATTATCGCTCCGTAAAGCTTTAATCTGCTGCTAAGTTTGCCTCTCAGCCAACAACATAAATTCTTTGAATTTCTCAAAATCTTGGTCCTTTGTTTTAGGCATATATGCCTATGTATATATACACTAGAGTCCTGCATGAGTACTTGAAAGTTAATTTTTAAAATCAGTTAACTTGGATCACTTTTTATACCCTTGCAGAGGGTATTATAATTTCAGTTAGATGATTGCAACGCAGTGAAGAAGACATTTCCGACCACATAAAGTATAGGGGAGTGTAGGGTAATTTGACGAGTAGGGTAATGTGACGAACTCGTCGAATCTCATATATGACGTCACGACAAAAATTCCAAATAAATGTAGTCGTCTCCCCTTATCGTGTCGACAATGTATTTACAGTAATATTAATAAGAAGTCCCGTAATTTGTTCGTGAGGTAATTTTCGCTAAAAATGTGGTGCGCAAACTAGCAAACCCATTCAATTTACTTGTGTTTCAGCAGTGCCAGAGCAAAGATGAATGGAAAATAAAATCAGGCAAATATATGCACGTATACATGAGATCTTTATCAACAGTTTTTGGTACCTCGCGTTTTTTTCTTTTGCGCCGTTTGAGAGTGACACCGTTTTTCCTCCAAGTCTACCTTGTAGGGTATCGTGACGAACTTTTTGTAGGGTATTGTGACGAACTTTTTTTATTCAAGAATTTTAATTGTTATCGTTGATTATTTGTAAAAAAAATATAATAATACCAGATAACATTTACTGCTGCAGTTTTATTGTTGTTTTTAATAGTGAGGTCAGTTTAATTTAATTTAAAAAAAATTTGCACTTTGACCATTTTTTTTTTGTAAGTTTTGGTATTATCTTATTACTTTTTTCTTTTCCGTATCGAAAATAACCTTTCCGTGAATAATATATAAAAAAATGTATTTTTTTGTTTGTAAAAAGGATGGTTTACACCAAACGCTGTGGCATTTGGCTACGTTGAAATTTCGAATCCAAATTTTTTTTAGAAATATGCTCAGTAAATGTAAGCAACATTCTGCTTTTACACTTTAAAAAAATATTGATTTTTGGAGAAGTTACATTAAATAACAAATCGTTCGTCACATTACCCTACAACTTTTGAAAGTGCAAAAAAAGTAGGGTTCACGCCAAACGCTGTGGGATTTAGCTGCATTGGAATTTCGAATTTCGAATTTTACAGGGATATGCTCAGTAGATGTAAGCAACTTTCTGCGTTTACACTTTTGAAAAATATTGATTTTTACAAAAGTTACATTCAAAAAACGAATCGTTCGTCACCTTACCCTACACTCCCCTATATATTCTTGATCAGCATCAATAGCCGAGTCCATCTAGCCATGTCCGTCTGTCAGTCTGTCCGTCTGTCCGTTTCTATGCGAACTAGTCCCTCAGTTTTAAAGCTATCGCGATGAAACTTTCCCAAAAGTCTTCTTTCTATTGCAGGTAGTACATATGTCGGAACTAGCCGGATCGGACCACTATATCTTATGGCTTCCATAGGAATAATCAAAAAAATAATACAAAAACTATTGTACCTTTGAAGAAAGTAGGCGTTTTGATTTTTGATAATGTAAAAACAACATGTTAAGTAGGCATACCTGCAAGGGTATATAAACTTCGGCTGGCCGAAGTTAACTTCCTTTCTTGTTTTCATTTGATTTTTTCATAAGGAAAAACAAGTGATTTAATATATAATAAATATATATAAAATAATTTCGAATCACATAAATAATTTGCTTAGTAATTTTATTACTCCCACTCACTTTTATTCTGTGCTTGTATCACTTGTTTTTTTTTACGAGTGATCAAGTAAAACAAGTCATCCAAGTTAACTCACTTGAACTCACTCACTCTTTTTCCAAAAAATTGACTTGTTTGTCAATTCAAGTGTACACATGCAGGATACATAACGCATCTTGTCGTCTATGAATGTAACAAAATACCGCGCTTCACCTTTAAAAACTGTGATCATACGACACACGTCTGTATGGATCAGTCCCAACACTTTACTCAAACGATTTTCCGCCATCTTTGGGAATTGCTTCACGCATATCTTGCTTTTCGCGCACGTTTCGCAAACAAAGTCAATCGTGCTCCCGGTTACTCAGCGTATACCACACCAATTCTTTTTGAATCATGGATTTTAAACTTTCGAAATTCAAATGTCCGAATCTGTTGTGCCATCTTATTACTTGATTTATTTTGCAAGGGTATTTATACAAATTGACGAAACTGAGTAGTCTACGCAACATTCGACCTTTCGTAGGAAGTTCTAGCCGAGGAGAATAGTAACTAACCAGAAAGGATGCAAGCCTCGGCCAGCTTAAGCTTATATACCCTTGCCGACCATTCCTAATGTTAAATTTCCTATTATTTCTCATTAATAATACCCGTTACTCGTAGAATAAAAGGTTATATTATACTCGTGCAAAAGTGTGTAACAGGGAGAAGGAAGCGTTGTGAACCCATTGTGAACCATTGCCCATGTCTTTGGGACTCGACGCCAAAGTTGAAAATCCATTACACTGGTCGACAAAAAAAAAGCCTAAGAATAAAAGCTACCAGACCTGAAAGGATTTTAGCTGTAGAGAACTACCTCATACTTGGAAACTTTCCATCACGTCGAAGTTTTGAGAAATCCGTGGTCAAAGTTCCAAATTTTCGATTTTTAGGCACTTTTTGCGGCTTAATAGCTAGAAAATCCTTCGTAGCCCAGAGCCAAAATTTATCGGAAAAGGTACTTTGAACCTTTAATTTCAAGATTGCCCAATCACAAAGTTGGGCGTCCTCTACTTCATTAGCTACAATGGATTTTACTGAAGTACTTTTTGTAACTTTTTTTCATCTATAGTAGCCTGATATTTTTAATGTAATGTATGTGTACGGGTCTCAGTTCAACAAGGAAAATATCAGGCTAACTATAGATGAAAAAAAGTGACAAAAATTACTTCTGTAAAATCGATTGTAGCTAAAGAAATAGAGGTCGCCCAGCTTTGTGATTGGACACTCTTGAAGTTAAAGGTTCAAGGTACCAGTTCCTCTAAATTGTGGCTCTGGGCTACGAAATTTTTTTTTACTATTAAGCCGCAAAAAGTGCCTAAAAATCGAAAATTTGGAACTTTGACCACGGATTTCTAAAAACTTCGACGTGTTGGAAAGTTTCCAAGGAAGAGGTAGTAATCTACAGCTATAATTCTTTCAGGTTTTGTAGCGTTTATTCTTGGGCCAAGAAAAAGTCTTGATTTTGTCGACCTGTGTTATTATTATTATTATTATTTCTTTATTTTGCATTGGATTTATTAAACGAATAAAACCGCACTTTTCATTTAATCATATACATACTCCTAAATGTTGTCAAATTTTCCAAAAGTCAAGGCATCCTATGCGAGTAAACATGTATGTTTCTCTCAGTGAACGCATTTACATCTTTCTAGGCAAAAATTGAAAATTTGATTTATTGCACGGTTTTTGGCCCAAGGCGCCACTGTGCGCCTCTGAAAGATATACAAACCTAGTCAAAAGTATTTTCTCAAATTTGAATGTTAACTGTACTCATATTTTGAACTTATAATATAAACATTTTGGTACCTATAAAAAATGTTCTTAACCCATTAAGCACCCTTTGAAAAGTGAGCAAATTAGACAATTTTTTTTAAAAACAAAATTTTCAACAAAAAAAAATTTAAAACAAAAATGTTTTGATGCAAAGTTGTTCCCCAATCAAAATTAATAATAACTGCAAAAAACAAAATTTCAAAATATTTTTCCTTGTATTTTTTATGATTTTTTGAAAATAGCTATTTTAGCCGCTTTTTCTTTCTTTTCATACAAAATTTTACTAAGATGTCTCCATTCAAAAAATCATAAAAAATACAAGGAAAAATATTTTGAAATTTTTTTTTTGCTGTTATTAATAATTTTGATTGGGGAACAACTTTGCATCAAAACATTTTTGTTTTAAGCCCCAGGAAAAAAGTTGAAAATTTGACTTTCGAAAAATTTGCTCACTTTTCAAAGGGGTCTTAATGGGTTAAGACATTTTTGTGTCATTTAAACGGAATTGAAGTGCTCTTTCTATAGGTGCCAAAAGTTTATATTATAAGTTCAAAATATAAGTACAGTTAACATTTGTGAAAATACTTTTAACCACCCCTGTATTCTCAAAAAGCTAATAAAACTTGTCATTTTCTTAAATTAAAGATATTGCAAGTACCAGAGCTGATGAACTATAGGCGTAGTGGTAAATTATGGTTATAAAAGGCTCATTTATAGGACAATAAAATGGTGGCAGGCTTGGACAACCATAAACAGGAAATTCTTTCGTCCTGAGCTATTAATGCGTGTATCGATTTCATCATTTTTTTTTACATTTAAAGATAGAATTAATAAAGATAATTTAAAGTAAACTTTACTTAAAAATGTCACTTGATATAAAATGTTGAATTTACATATATTTACAAATTATCCTGGAAATAATATAACAAAATATAAAAATAACGAAATTTTAATTTTTTGTAATCATTTTATCACGGCTTCTTTACCACGTTAAGAGGTGTGTTTTCTTAATGAACCATACAAATTAATTTGAATGCACTATTTTTCATGGATGACTTACGTTTTCGAGTAACTTGAATTTCGTTTAACTGGTCAGTTCTTTTTTGAGACAGATTAACAAAATGGTTCTGCAGCATTATCCAAAACTGTTGATGCTCACGAATTTGCAGCTCTCCTGTGTGAATAGTTTTTTCTAATTGTTTGATCTGAAAAATACCATTGATAAGAGATAAAAATGGATTAATTTGGTTTTGAATTGCTTGTTAAATATGTATACCCGTTACTCGTAGAGTAAAAGGAAACTTTTCCGACCCTATAAAGTATAGGGGAGTGTAGGGTAATGTGACAAATAGGGTAATGTGACGAACTCGTCGAATCTCATATATGACGTCACGACAAAAATTCCAAATAAATGTAGTCGTCTCCCCTTATCGTGTCGACAATGTATTTACTGTAATATTAATAAGAAGTCCCGTAATTTGTTCGTGAGGTAGTTTTCGCTAAAAATGTGGTGCGCAAACTAGCAAATCTATTCAATTTACTTATGTTTCAGCAGTGCCAGAGCAAAGATGAGTGGAAAATAAAATCAGGCAAATATATGCACGTATACATGAGATCTTTATGAACAGTTTTTGGTACCTCGCGTTTTTTTATTTTGCGCCGTTTGAGAGTGACACCGTTTTTGCTACAAGTCTACCTTGTAGGGTATCGTGACGAACTTTTTGTCGGGTATTGTGACGAACTTTTTTTATTCAAGAATTTTAATTGTTATCATTAATTATTTGTAAAAAAATATAATAATACCAGATAACATATACTGCTGCAGTTTTATTGTTGTTTTTAATAGTGACGTCAGTTTAATTTAATTTTAAAACAAGAGAGAACGCTATAGTCGGGTGCCCCGACTATCAGATACCCGTTACTCAACATTTTTTGATGTACTTTCGATCTTCCTTGTGTGCGTTGTCCGTGCTAGATTCTTTGATTGATTAAGTTTAAATTTACTTAAATTACACGGACCTAGTTGCTCACAAAAAAAACACGTCGCGGTCAAATCGATATGCGCATGGTAAATTTCTTACAAACTATCTCTATTAGAAATAGAGCGAGATACCGCTTAAAGTTACACGAGTGGGAGAGAGAAAGACACATTCGAACATCGAGCTGACCTGTTGTATACATTTCGAGCATATCGAATTGAGATGCCCGCATATCAAGTCAATATCAATCGATACCACATAACATCATCGATCATCGTTTCATATAAAGTTTCTTTAGGTGTAAGGGCGTTATACCCCTTAGTGTTTATCAAACAAAAACACCGCTTAACAAAGTAAAAATAAAGTGACGATCGCTAAAAATATTCTGATATCAAATTGTGTGACGAAAAATGTTTGTACTTTCGACTAAATAAATACACTTTCTAAAATATTCTCATTCGGCTCGCATTATCAAAATATTTAAGCTTTTCGCCTGCAAAGGCACATTCTATTGCACCGTGCCGAATGAGAATATTTTAGAAAGGACATTTATTTAATCGAAAGTAGGCATCGTCACAAAATTTGATGTCAGAAGGTATAAAGTAGTCTCTCAGTTTTTAAGCTATGAAAATTTCCCAAAAGTATTCTTTCTATTGCAGGTAGTCCATATGTCGGTGCGAGCCGGATCGGAGCACTATATCTTAAGGCTCCTATAGGAATAATCAAACAAATATAAACAAATGCATTGTAACTTTGCAGGAAGAAGGCGTTTTGATTTTTGTAAGCTAAAAAAAAATGTTAACTAGGCACGCAGAATCTGGAATCCCTGGAACTGCACCGATGAACGAGTATTAAACTATAGGTATTTACTTTATCATATAGCCATGTCCGTCTGTCCGTTTCTATGCAAACTAGTCTCTCAGTTTTAAAGCTATCGAGATGAAACTTTCTCAAAAGTCTTCTTTCTATTGCAGGTACTACATATGTCGGAGCGAGCCGGATTAAACCACTATATCTTAAGGCTTCCATGGGAATAATCAAACAAATATAAGAAAATTCATTGTGACTTTGTAGAAAGAAGGAGTTTTGATTCTTGACAGCTTAAAAACAACATTTTAAATAGGCACGCAGAATCTGGAATCCCTGGAACTTCACCGATAGAGTAAGCATTAAACTATAGGTATTTACTTCATTTGCAAGGGTATATAAGCTTTGGCTGGCCAAAGCTAGCTTCCTTTCTTGCTGCTTTAAATATTAATCATAATATAGAGTAATGTACACTTTTGCTGTAATACTTGTATGATCTATTGTACAAGCATTTAAATCTCTAAAGATTATAAAATGAAAGACCGATTTTTAAGGGGATACGACCACAGCCCAAACCGTAAGAGCTAGAGCAGCCAAATTTTTGCACAGTATTCCATTGGGGGCTTAGGCCCCCACTAAGGTCCAACATGTCCCCCCAGGGGCCCCAAACAGCTCCAACATCCATATTTCGAGGAAAAACATTAGATGTACTTAAGCTTAACTTCTAAAGTGGTTGGAATTTCGAAATTCTGGTTTTGTTTTGGATTTTAAAAACTTGTGAAGCAAATGCTTAGGTTTTATTTTTAAAAAAAATTTTTATTTGTAGGAGAAGTAAGAGCTCTATTTAATTTCCACCATGGAAGAAGATAAAAAATTACTACAAATCCTGTAAACATAGCCAAAGTGTTTCCAAGTTAAATATTAATGTTAAGATTCGAACTTTTCATCAAATACAAATAAAATTATTCATTTTATATAATAAGTTACTTCGCTACATTTGTATGGGATGTCAATCTTTTCGTGTGTGTACAAATGTTTTCGCTTCATTCAAAACATAAATTTAAAAATAACAAATTCCAATTTACAAACAAGTGTACATTTGTGCGCAAATTAAAATTGCATTGATAACATTGTAACTGATAGAAGGTATAAAAATTCACTACTTTTACTTAGATCGCATTCATTTATTATATACACACAAAAAAATTTGCTTGGTAAAATTGACCAATATAGATAGTTACGTACCTATTCAAATAGTTACGTGTATTTTGTTTTTGCTTTGGGTTTGTGCCTTTGCTAAATGTGTGTATTTTGTTGTTGTGAAATGACTATTTACTTAGTAGAATTGACAATTGTGCTGGTTGGGGCCTGTTTGACAATTATTACAGTTGATTTTACCAAGTTTTTTTTTTGTGTGTACATAGCTCTGCCAGTAGCCTTCGGATTCTCTCTCTTGAAGAATCTTCCAGAAAGGTTGTTTACGCAAAGGTTTTCAAGAAACGCGAAAATAAGATATAAGAAAGTCCTGACAACCTAATTTCCTAATTGCAAACTAACGTTAAGCGAACGAAGTCGCTCCTTACAGTATGGGGTTGAGTTGAAATGAGGAGCGGTACTTTTTTATATGCTTTGACTTCCTTAAAAGCTAAGTATTTTTTCGCCTGCGATTACCCTTACACACAAAAAAAATACTTGGTAAAATCAACTGTAATAATTGTCAAACAGGCCCCAACCAGCAAAATTGTCAATTCTAATAAGTAAATTGTCATTTCACAACAACAAAATACACACAATTAGCAAAGACACAAACCCAAAGCAAAAACAAAATACACGTAACTATTTTAATAGTTACGTAACTATCTTTGTTGGTAAATTTTACTAAGCAAATTTGTTTGTGTGTAAAAGCTGACTAAATACAGCAATTCTTAAACTTTGAGCTTTTTTTCTCAGACGCAACGTCGGGGAATTTTTTGGTGAACACATTTCAAAATTGTTATTCAAAGTGAACATCTAAAGAAGTACATTTTTATACCCTTGCAGAGGGTATTATGATGCAGTAATTGATAACCCGCATTTCGAGTTCGAACAAAATTTGGACTTCGAGTTAAATACAGATGATAAGTAAAATAAAAATATAACACGTACATTTTATTTATATATGGAATTTGGCCGGCTGACTGGGGGGTGGTAAAAATCAAAAACTAATGAAAACCGAAATTTTACAATGGTCTTAATAGTATGTACAAAAAAATTGAAATCCGTATTTTAAAATTACCTTCGCGGTCGGGGGTAGCTCATGTGGGCGTGGTCAAAATTAAAAACTAATGAAAACCGAAATTTTACAATGGACTTAATATAATGTACAAAAAAATGTAATTCCGTATTGTTAAAATTACCTTCGCGGTCGGGGGTGGTTCATGTGGGCGTGGTCAAAATCAAAAACGAATGAAAACCGAAATATTACAATAATCTTAATATAATGTACAAAAAAATTGAAATCCGTATCTTTAAAATTAGAGTTTATGCCAAAAAAAAAAACGCTTTTCATCCCAATGTGCACTGGTTGGGCTTGTACGGAGCCGCGGCCATAAATATTTCCCATTGAGATATCGTTATGAAATTTTCCCCAAAAATCTAAAAAAATATTTTGAATATATACTAAAAACTTGGCTACATCGGAAGACTTTATCCTATAGCTCAAATAGCACCTTAGTATGTCTTGTATGGCGATGGTGCGCAAAAATACTTCCAGTGAAGTTACAGTGCACTATGGGCAAAAAATTCGAAAGTGAGGCATTTTTAAATTTTTTTGTTCTTCAGTATTACATAAATGACCTTCTGTGGTTATTTACAATACTTAAAGGAACCTAAAATCCATTTTCAAAGAATTTTATTTGGCGTTTTTCGCTATTTTTTTCTTAAGAAATTCGAAAGTTTGAAATAGGGTCACACGTTTACAAAAAGGGACGAAAAACTTTGTAGTTTTCACACCTCGATTTCTTTGGTTATTGTAAGCCAACCAAAAAAGTTTAAATATGGATACAAAGAGTGAAGGATTGTTAAATAAATTATAAACACTGAATGTTTATTATATGTGCTTTTTGTCCATTTGTTTGATGAGTTGTCGCTTAGTTTTTAGATGACAAATAAGAAATGTATTTTTGCTTTCTGTGGAGTGTAAGATGTGAGTATAGGAGAGTATAGGCAAGGTAAAAATAGGAAGTTATAAACAAAACAATTGCTAATCGAACCCTATCAATACTTTTTGCACGTTTTTGCACGTTATACGTAAAACCTCCATGTTGTAGTTGCATTCGAGTTCTGTCACTACACATTGCTTAATGTTTGTATCGGCAACAACCGGCAACAAACCGCTGTGATGGAATTTGTTTTGCAAACTATGAACGGAATCGAATTAA